TCCTACTCTTTTAATTTTTAGCATGCGTAATTGACTCTTAACCCACACTGAAGCCTTTTGTTATAATTATATATTATTAACAGCTTTCTCGAATCATCTGTTTTGTTAGAGAACTAACTTGCTTGGGCAAAGCATATTGTTTAACTAAACCATACCTTTTCCTGAAAGTCGTAAAATTCGTTTTTATTCTTTTTATGTGCCATTTTCTTACCATCTACGAAACTGCCATTAAACAATAGTGTTCAGTTAAGATAGCAGTGAGGCAAATCAAGCTCTTATTTTGTTCCGATGCCAAATGGGAAAGGCAATATATATTTAGAGTTAATTGTGCTGGCTAGTGGGATTTCAAGCCTACTTCGACCTAAAAATGCATGATGCTTATTTTGGAGCCAAAACGTTCGAAAAGTTGCTTATTTTAAATTCCATTTGACTGCAAAATCTTTGTACAGGCGGTCCTGTACCACACATATAGAAAATGACCCTTCCAAATGTAAATCGAAAGGCTAATTATCACATTTATATCCAAAAATCGACAAAAGTTTCCGCGCCTTAATAACCAAACTTATAATTACGCCAACAAGTCATCTAAAACGTACCTACCATGTGGTGTCCCGCAGGGAACGATTTTAACTCTCTTTTGTTTTCACTATAATTATATAAATGACCTTCCCAATTGCCTCATTCATTCACAACCTAGAATGTATGCTGACGACACTAGTATCACCTATATGTCAACGCTAGAAAGGAATCCCATAATTGAAATTAACCAGTTTCCGATTAAACAAGTGCCGACTTCAAAATCCCTAGGTGTTTACATCGATGGAATCTTTCCTGTGAGTGTCATATTAACGAAATCTCAAAGGAGATTGCTTCTGGCATTAGTGCGATTTAGCGTATTAGGTATTTTCTCCCTTTTGAGATTCTACTTAACGTATACAATTAACTGGTACAGCCACACTTTGATTACTGCAATGTAGTATGGGGGAATTGTTCCGAGGACCTATCTTCTAAATTGTAGAAATTGCAGAATCACGTCGCTCGCGTTCCAACTTTCTCTAATTATGACTGCAGTACTAGTGAATTATTTGAAAATTTAAAGTGATCGAGACTTGTCCATCAGCAGCGCGTAGTTAGTAAAGTAATAACGATGCATAGAATTGCAAATAACACAGCTCCAGAATATCCGACCTCGCGCTTTATTCGTCGCTGCGATTTAACGTAGAGAGAATGAATACAAGCTCCACAACCCCGCACTGAATTTTATAAAAGAAGTCTTCGCAAGTGTCGAAAGCACGAATTTTGTAGGGGGGTCTGGGGGTATTCTCCCCTAGAAGATTTTCAGATTTGGAGGCTCCGAAAAGCTATTTTCAGCACTTGTCATGAAATGTGTCCGAAAAATCGACCTCCAATATGAAAATGGCAAACAACTGCAAGTCACTATTACCAAAATAACGCTATTTTCAGCACTTGTCATGAAATGTGTGCGAAAAATCGACCTATTAACTGAGTCTAAATAAAGCAAATCCATCCACAGACTTAGCGTGTCTGGCTCAACAGGTCCCCTTGGGAATGAAAGAAAAAAATCCAAAGCTTTGACATGAGATATATTGCATAAATGAATAAAGTTAAGTAACAATTATTCACCTCAGTGTCGGTGGCTAGTGGGGATATGTACCTCGCCACTAACGCGGCCTCGGTACATCCCACCACTAGCCACCAACATTGAGGCGAATAATTGTTTTAGTATGTACTAAAACAGTGAGATAATTGAGCACAAAAATGATGATTTTTAACTCATTTACTGTTGCCTGTAACGAGTAAGCCCGATACACACGAGGGGTTTTGCTCCCGGAGCATGCTCCAGGCTCATTTTGCACGTGTCAGTGCACTCGAGGGAGCGTTTTCAAGTTCGCTCAATTTGCCCTGGGAGCTTGCTCCCAAATATTTAGCAGGTTAAATATCGTGGAGCATTTTGCGGGGTAGAAATTCTGCTCGCAAGGATGAAGTATACCCATGAAATCGTTGGTACACACGGAGGAGCTTTGCTCCCGGAGCGTACCCCTGGAGCATGCTCCGGGAGCAAAATCACTCGTGTGTATCGGCCTTTTCAATTTTGGCGCGCAATGACCGAACGGCTGCGGTCGTCGCTTTTTGTTGCCGACAAATAAAACTTTTGAAGGCATTTGTTTAGCTCTTGCGGGGAAATTTCCTCAAAAGGAGTTCTGAATTCTTTTATATTTAAAATCATTCTGTAAAAAGGATAATTAAATTTAGTTTGAAGCTTATTTATCAACAAGTCAACTAAATACAGTAACGCAAGACCTAAGCTTAATTTGCATTTGTAAACAAAAAACGTTTTCGCCGGCTTTATCGATAAATTCAAGTCAAAAAGACAAAGTTTTACCGGTTAAAATTTCCACCCCAAACTTCGTCACCCTCTTCGTGTATTTCGGGATCAGCTTGCATAATTGCTTGATTACTTGTGAAATGTCTGTTTGTTAAGGCAGCAAACCGGGAAGGCATTTTGCTCGCAACTTACGCGAGTTTGGCGTCGCTCGCTCGGAGGAACTGGAGGTGAATCAGTGAATAAAGCAGGATATTCACTGATTGAGTAGCCAATCAGAGCGCGCGAAAAACACTATCCACTGTTTTAGTATGTGCTATAAAAGGTCTTATTAATGTTGTTTGACGCCGTAACAGGTACATGTGTGGTTATTTTATTTTTTAGTCTGAGCTCTTTTTATTTGGAACTACCTAGCCTCCTGTGAATACTCAATCAATGTTACGAGGAGGTGCGAAGAGAATAAGTAGGAAAAAAAACTAGATTTATTAATGATATCTATCAGTAGTTTTCACATGACGTCAGTCACCAACACTCAAAAGTAAAGATCAATTCTCCTGTGATTATTACCGGAACATTAAACGAAACTTACCCGTACGTTGAAATGTAGGGGATCGCATGAGATTGCACAATCCTATCCTAGGAATCAACTTTTAAAGGCGAACAAATAAAGAAGAGTATATGTAAAATCGGGTGGTTAGTAGTATAAGGGTGGGCATGTGATCCCTTACACTTCCTAATGACTCAATAATTTTTAGTATGTTTAATATTGGAGAGTATTCTTTGTATGGGAATTCCCCCAATTATTCTACAGTCATGCATTTTTTGTATTCTTTTGTAATTCATTTACTTGTATTAACATGACACTTTAAACTTAAGCTAAAATAGAATTACCTTCAAACTTTAACTTAAAGGTAAGTTTCGTTTAATTTTCAGTTAAGTTCTATTTCGTCATCATTCGGTTAGGGATCTCATGAGAAGTTTAGAGCAAGTATTTGTGAACGCAAAGATAAAAAATATTCAATATGTCAGGTAACACGACATTTATTTCTTCACTGGCTCAAATCTCAGAGATAGAGAGGGACAAATAGATTACAGTTGCCGTGTACTGTCCAACAGAACTCTTGCCAATTCTCCATGTTGCATTGTTGAATTGGTTGCATGTAATAATTTTGCAAAAGAACAATGTCCTGACCAACCCGCTGTTCGAAGAATAGTGTCAACAAGAACCTTAGCTACTGCAGCTGCACTGGCTGACGTAGACCTGATACTATGAGGTTTAAAGCGACTTGAATCAATTCCAGAAAGTTCTAAGGTGGTTTTATCCACCGAGATATAGTATCTTTGGTGGCCGCTATATACGGTTTAACACATATGACAAACAAACTAGTAATGGAGATATTTGCCAGGTTTTGTTTGCTTTAGTTGGACTCCAATCGAAAACTTGACGATGGAATTGTTCACCACCATGTTCGGAATGTCCAAAAAATAAAGGGTTTGACACCTCTGTGCTGATAAAATTCCCAGTAAGGTAACAGTCTTGTACGTCAACATTTTCAGTAATAATTATTTAACGGAGGATAAACTCTTGAAATAGTTTAACAACATAGAAGGGTCCTCAGTGACAGTGTATCTTGGTCAATGTAGGTTTTTGTTGAAAAACTCCTTTTAGAAACTGCTTAACAATAGGAAGTTCTCCAAATGAAACCGCTGAGGAAACGTGTACTAACTGTGATAAGGCAGACCTCACAGTGTTCATAGCACAGTGTTCGTAGCACAAGGTCTAGACCTTGTTTGTCAACCAAATATATAGAAATTTTCCTTGTACCCCCATTTATCTAACTACTCTGTTCTCTGTTTGACGAGTGAAAATGGAATTATACATTCAAACAATTGAGAAGTGAGTTTCCATTCTGAGTCTGATCGTTTTTCCCTGGACTCTTTATCTGCTAAAACATTTTGCTTCCCAGGGATATGCAATGCAGACAACCACATACCATGTTGTGCACACCACACCAACTGTTCCCAGGTAATTTGGCTACACGAAAGGCTTCGACCTCCCATGCTATTCATATGATATGCCAGTTGTTTTATCAATCATAGCTTTCACATGACAATTTTGAACATCTGAGCAGAATGCCTTCAAGGTGAGGAAACATGCCAGGATCTAAAGGTAATTGATGTGGTTTTGGATTCATCCTCAGACCACTGCCCCCCAGTTGATGTGGAATTAACAACCCCTCCCCAGCCAGTAAGGGATGCGTCTGAATAAATTGTGACTTGGGGGTTACCATGGGTAACAGTGTTTGATGTGTTCGTAATTTTAATCCACCACGGAAGATCAGACCTTACCTTATCTGAAAAGTTTATGAAAGAGTCAAAATTGCCTTTCTTTGTTTCGGAGCAGCCACTTTTTCTATTTCAAGTTGTCTGTAATAAAGGGGCCCATCCACTGTACCCCAGGAAAACTTGCAACCTTAAGGTCAATCACTTCAGAGACAGTCCGTATAGTGAGGGACTGGTTGTCAAGCAGGTCAATTACTTTTGATATTAATTTCAAGCTTTGAAAGGTGTTAGAGATATTGTCATTTGAACAGAATTTAATACAAAGCCCCATAAAGTGATGACCTTACTTGGTATAAGGATGATTTTGCCATGTTTACGTCAGAGCCAAGTCTGTAAATAACCTGACAGTGATGGATACATTTGTTTCATTATCAGAAAAGGTGTTCCCTTTGAGATAAGTGTCATCAATATATGCCACGTTTTCAAACCTTTGCTCCGTAAAACAGAATATGTTGGTTTCAGAAGTTTTGTGAATATTCTTGGAGCACTGCTTAATCCATTTGGAAGACCAGTAAACTGAAACGACTGGTGTCTACTTAGATGTTCTCAAAACATAGTCAAGAAAAGAAACGACGACTGGTTCTTCAATTTGAATCGGAGGTATTTCCTGTGATTTGGGCCGCCTGTTGACACAGAATGATAGGCATCTTTTAAATCAATGCTAGCCATGTAACAGTTGGGGCTCATACAGATAATAACACTTTTACGATGTTCGATTTTAAAATGGTGGCATTCCACAAACTCATTCAGATATTTCAAATTAAGTAACAGTCGATATGAGCCATATTTCTTTGGCCTAATAAAGATGTTTGAGATACATTCTCCTTTGGAATGTGTTGTTTTCTCAGTAACTCCTGTTTCTAAAAACTGTTCTATTTGGTTGTCACTAATAATAACCTCAGCTGCATTGAAATAGTATTCTCGGGGAATAATGATCTGCTTTGGATAAGCGGCAAACTCAATTCTAACCCCCTTTACAACACTGAGTATGAAATAATCAGAAGTTATGGTTTGCCATAAAGACACAAAGTGTTTTCGTTTGCCAGCAACAATGGTACAGTAATTGTGTGGTCATGATTAGTATCATCGTCAAGACTCACCTGGGAATCTAGGTGGTCTTGGGACTTAGTAAGTGCTACTGTTGTTATTCGGGTTTCCCTTTCCTTTTGGGGTCCAGGAGTGATCACTTCGCCGGACCCTGAGCCTTCCATAAGGCTTATGATTCGGATTGTGCTAGCGATGAGGAATGTTTGGCCTTCTTGAATGTCTGTGGTATTGTGGCTGGGTACTTTGATGAAACCTTGACATCCACTTTATTGGTTTCATTAATTTCCTTTACTGACTTTGGCAAGTCATCTCCAAATAGCCCTTTGGTTACTGGGTTTTGTGAGCTGCATAGTTGTTTGAACTTATCATTTGGATCGCCATTTAGATCACGTTTTATAAGCTCACCTTGTTTGAGATTAAACTCATTAATAGAGTCAGACACATAACTCTCTCATGCAGAATTTGAATTAGATCTTAACTCCAGCAACTTGTCAGCAACTTTGACAATGGGAATCATGCTCCTCAGAAGGTTTGTTTCCAGTTTTTGCATCCTCAAATCTCTGGTTCTAGTATTATATATAACCTTGCTCCAGATTTCTGTATTTACTCGTGTCCTTATAAGGTTTTCACAGTTTTCTGGTCTGTTGTATTTCTCATGTTTTCATTTTGCTGATCGCTTACCGTTCCTTCGGAGTCATAAATTTGGTAAGTTCTCCGAGGACTTCATACTCGTCGGTTTTGGAGCGCTTTTTTGAGGCAGCTGTTTGCAAAAGGTCATCGACCTCATTGGAAATGTCGGTCGGGTTTCCCGCCATTGCAGTATCTTCTTGTTCACTGCATTTCGATTCACTCATTTCATGTCTTTTTCTCTTACGAGACGTTTCAGCCTGACTGAAAACTTCCACCGTGGAGTTCACTGTAGCAATCTGCTGCTGCATCGTCAGTCAAGTCAGTTACTGACGCTGAAGACTTTTAGTTCTTTTAGTTTGTGCAAAACACGAGTGGACTGATCAGTGGATCAGTGGAATTTCTGCTACGGACTAACTTCTTCTTTGGTTTTGTGGTTTTCTCTCTGTCCTGAGTCCCGGACAGATTAGTATCTCCACTGGAGATGCTCAAGTGATAGTCTCCGCTATGTTTTGAGGTCTCGATTGAGGCCACTGCTGATTGCAGCATATTGTGACCACACGAGTCGAAGAGACAAAAGAAATATACAAATCGAGTCCGTCGGACTGTCATTTTGGAAGAAATTCAGGGAAATTTCGCAGTGCTATTGTAAACACGTCCGCCAAGGAGCGGGAAATGATTCGCATTGGTTTCTCGGATAGGATTGTGCAATCTCATGGGATACCTACTCTGAACAGTGACGAAAATAGAATGAAGTGTCAAAGCAGCCAAAAACTTATGTTCTGACAAGGTTTTACTGCGAAAGGGTTGTTTGTGTTGTGATAGAGTGCGCTTGAATTTCTAATCTTTTGCGTGACAAGGCATTTACAGTGACGTGGCAGTCGAGAGAGTTGCCATGTAGGTTAGGTTGTAAAGTCTTGACTTAGTTCGGGGGATGTGGCTTTGCATTCGTAGCATAACATACTACTAACAGTACTCGTAGATTTCTAAAATTATGCCAGTTTTTGTAAATTACGCCTATTTTAGCAAAAATATATGCAGAAATTATGCCTGTGCTACTTACTTTCTATTTGGAAAAACTCCTCAATTACTGAGCAATTAACACGTAAAGGCAAACAAATTTTCCCTATCCATAAACTAAAAACTTTCCTAGCGTATAATTCATCATAAATTACCTGGCTATCAATATCTTGCAAAGTATTAACAGTGAAAGGCAGCTTGAATAACCGAGATGCGCATGCGTTGAGTCCTGTGGAAAGAATTCTGGGTCACTTCCTGTGGGAAGCATGTCCAATGACTGTGACAATAAGGAGACAGAAATAATCCAGGCGCGCGAGAAGCGCAAAAAGCGCGCGAGGGGTGGGGAAGGGAACGCCTGCAAGGACGCTAATGTCTTTTTCTTTGTTCACATCTACCAGAGAAGTAAAGAAATCCTGATTGATTAGAATTCCAAACAAGTCAATCACAGCCTTAATGCTTTAATTCCATTTGGCCCGCGTTTACCCGGAATTTTCCGCTTGTTTGTCGCACGTTTTTTTTAGAACCGAGAAGCATTTTGGAGTTGTTTGTTCCACTTAATAGATTTTTATTTGTGTGATCGACCTGAGGAAATGTTTGGTCGTTAATTGAACCTAAGAAATATCTTGGTTTTTGTAGATTCTTGGTCGTGTGTTCGAACTGAGAATTTCTTTTTTGTCATGTGCTCGACCTGAGGAAGTGTTTGCTCTTGAAAAAAAAAAATTAAAACTAAAACTAATAAATAAAATAAATAAAATAAATTAGTCGTGTGTTGACAGCTGCAGAAAGACTTATTTTGGTCTTGCGTTTGACCTGAAAAAGTTTTGGTCGCGCCTCGGTGCCCGTTCTGAGAGAGATTTTGACAGTGCACGGGGCCTGTGAATGCTTTTAGTCGCGTGTTCGGCCTTAAGAAGAGTCTGGTGGTGTGTTCGACCTTGGGAAGTGTTCAATCATTTGTCCGACCTTTCAAAGAATTTGGCCGTGTGTTTGGACTTAAGTGTTCTACAGCGTGTTCGAGGGTTAACGTTTAAAGGGTTTTGGGCATGTGGTCGTCTTTTAGGACTCGGTAGCGTGTTCTGGTAAAAAAAAAAAAAAAAAAAAAAATGTGCCTTTTCCCTCTTCCCGCCCCTGCCGGGATCTGAAGGGAAATCTAAACTTATTCGTATAACCCGTCTCAGGGTGGGTTCCTGCTCCGGTCGGGATAAATAGGAGGATCTTAATGGGGGTTAACCGATAGCCGTAAAACGGCCAAAAATTTAGTCGACAGCCGTAAAAATTGAAAAATTTTAACCGTTAGCCGTAAAAAGGGTAAAAAAGAGTTAACCGTAAAAGAAATTGTTCCCTAGATTTGTTCATTTTAAGGAAGGTGTTAAACTCACTTATGGTTGCGTTATTTATTTCCGGCTACTTCACTCCGTACGCACGTTAGGCCAAGCGCCTTTTAGTTGTGACCTAGACCTGGACTCCATTTCCGCCGCTCTTTCAAGGAACTAATTTTTTCCATAGCGAAAATCTGACTTCTTGCTGGGGATTAAAATTTGCTATTACTTCAGTGGCGTATCTGAGAAAAAAAAAAAAAAGTCATGGTAGTCGTACAAGTACGCATTGAATGAAAAGATAAAATAAAACAAAGAAAAAAAAGAGCGAAAGACATTACACATTTTGAAGGATGTCAATGACGTTGCCACTCTGGGGAAATTTAAGCCGTCAATGGTTATTTCTCTTTCATCTGTCTTATTTCCACTAACCTTTGGTAAAGGTATCATAATGAGGTTCAGTAGCTCCATTTAAGGGGTTCGGATTCCGGAATCCTGGAAATTTCGGAATGCGGAATCAAGAATCCACCGCGTGTAACCCAAAATCTAAGACTGTCTTACATATCCTTATATTGGGGCACGTTCAACCCTCTTGCTGTGTCGGGTGTCCCGTTCTAGTTCTTGAACTCAAATCATGCATGCTATGTCCAAGTTGCGACATAGAAATCTCCCCGGTCCGCCAAGATTATCATTGTTTTTAATGCTGTTATTACACTATTTTCAAAGGGTATATAATTTGCAGAATAATAATTAAGGGTTTCTTAATACATGAGCAGGTAAAAACTAACGCGGATAAAATCAAACTACAAGCACACAGCGTAAATTTAAGCAAAATGAATGTCGAGCCAAGGTATGGGTATCTGCCCACGTCGATAGTCGTCGCTTGTCTAAGATCAAATTGTCAGTTTTTCATGCCAAATCGTCGCATGTCAAGAATTGTTTTGAGTGGCATTAAACCGCTATTAGCGAGCTCAGCGCAACCAAAACGACGACAGAAACGATAAAATAACAAAAAAGAAAAAGGTTAATAAGCACAGCAAAAACAATGAACGTGCAGCACACTATTTAGCGCAGACTTCTTTGCCGTCATTACACGACTAACGCTGAGTTGTGAAACTTGACTGAGATGGCAATGCGATCGTCGCTTTAATCTTTACGATCGTCGCTTCATGAACTTGAGCGGTCGTCGCAATTTCGATGCTGTCGGGAATACCCATACACAGGCTCAATTTAGTCCTAATTAATTGAATATAATTTTAAACTCTACAGTCATATTACCTGAATGCTAAAATTTCACATACAACCCTTTACCTTTCCTGGTTGGGTTTCATAATCCTCTAATCTTACGAGTTCCCGATATTTGACTACTTTATTTAAACCTTTTTTTGCTAACGTTTCTTATAAGTACACACGTGTTAATGTTATTATACACCTATAGTCTTGAACAGCGAGAGTAAACTCTCCGTTTGAAAAACTTGAACACGGTCTTCTATATAATTATGCTGTTCCTGGAAAACTTTGTGGTTATCAAGCTAAAGGTATTTCTTATCTAGCGCATGTCTAGTAAATATAAAAGAGCAGTGTATTATTTCTAATATACAGTTTTCTCATATTCTTTTCGTGTCCACACGTACTTTATTCGTTGATCGAACCCTATTCGTGTAGTGTGGTGTGACTATTGACACTGTTTTTTGAGTGCGTTGAGAAAAAAATGGGAAATAATGGAGATAATGGAGGAGATGACCCGTAAAAGAGTCGATTGGGTCCGTTTTCCTGGCTTTGCTAAGGCACTTTCACGGCACTTTTGCGTGAAAGTAGCTGATACTTTAAGTTTGGAAACAGAGTGAAGTGATTGGTCAGTGTAAATCGCGCATTGCAGATAGCAGATTACAGACTGGTTATAAACGCAACGCAGTTTTTACGAACCTTGTTTAAACGTCCACCACGGAGTTACAATCCCGTGCGATTAGTGCGTTGGTTGCTTAAAGGTGTTATCGTGCCTCTGTCTTCGCGCATAAATGGTGCCTTCATCGTGCTAAAATGGTGCCCCTTTTCGTGCATAAAAGGTGCCGTTACTGTGGTTAAATGATGCCTCACCGGGACAAAGACACGGTGCTCGAAATGACCGAGAACTATAATCGAGCCTCGATGCATGGTTATGTATATCACGCTTTTGCAATGAAATTTATGCATTAACAGTTCACGTTCATAAATATTCATCCGTCAGTTTTAAACTTAGAGGAAACTTAGTATTGATTGATGCAGGTGCATCTCTAACCGCTTTGTCTATCACTGATTAAACTCTTGGTTTGTTCTGGGCCAGTTGTTAAAAAGGTGGATAGCGCTACCCAACTTTTGAACAACCGCGGCCTGGTCAATAGTTTATTGTATAAGTAAGTGAGATCGAAACTTTACAATTTTTTTTTAAAAAATTTAGATTAAATGGGCGATTGGCGTCTCTATAAGCTTCGTTGGCTACTGTAATGCACATTGATTGCAGAGCAACCGAGCAAAAAATCTAGATTCTATGTAAGAGTTAAGCGGAACTGTTAGTAACAGTAAATGCAGCGTTAGACCATTTTTTGCAAACAAAAAAAAAAGACATCGGCGCATGCCCGTCGACACCGTTGGAAAGAGAACCTTCGAAATTACTGCAAGCTTGCTAAATTTTTGCCAAATAGCTCAGAAACGGGCACTACCAGAATTTGCAGAATGTTTGTGCGCCTCACCAAACAAACGTCTGTGAAATGCAATGAGTCTGAAGTTTGTTTTCCGGCAACTATACTGTCCAACTGGTCCGATTTCAAAAATGGAAAAAAAATCGTGGAAGAATCTAGTGATTGCAAGAGAGGCTCGTTGACTGGGGTAAGAAAACACGAGTTTTGTCAACTAAATGGGATTCAGTTACTAAGGCCGTCTAGTGCCGTCTAGTCTTTGGAATTATCTACTTTTACAAATCTGTAAGGAGGATGGGATAATTTAGAGAGATTCAGTTTTTTTTCCCAAAACAAGTCTTTTACAGTTGTTTCAGCCGCAGGGAAAACTCGCTTAATTGGGAAAACAAAAAACAAAAACAAAAAAGTTGTGAACGAATATCCCGATTGCAATGCAAGCCGATTTGAAATTAAATAAAAAGTTAACTACCGATAGAAAGTATCAGTTTTCCTTTTAGGTTCTACTTAATGGATGATTAATTGATAAGAAACATGCCGCTAACTACCTGTAAAGTAATATTTTCAAACTAAAACTGTTACTTCGGCTTACTGTAATATTGATTAAAAAGACTAAGGGCACGAATTGACCGAAGGTGACTTAGAAGTTATCTTTTAGGTTGTTTCGTAAAATATTTCTACTTCGTCTGAAGTAAAGTGATAAGTGCCTGCCAAAAATGTCTTGGTGAAGTATTCGTTATAGTTGTACCCGCTTGGTGGGCTGTAAGTATAGCCAAGGTTGGCTGAATTGTGACTAGATGCAGACATGTAAATGTCATTGCCTCCTCCGAAAATAGGTCCATAAAGCGAGCAGTCGAATACGGAACTTCTGTCAGAACTATGCTGCCCTGTCTGAGGTAGTTTCACAGGCGCCCATCCTGGCTTGTTAACCAGCGAGAAAAGGAATGCCTGGGAATCATATCGATACTGGCAGCTGCTGTAACCTGTTGGGAAAATCATAAATGAAAAGGATAATCAATGCACAGACGTCCTTCAAAAATTGGAATTCATACAGACAAGGAAATATACTGATAGTACTCACAATAAATAAGAAAAGAAAAAAATAAAGAAAAGAAAAAAGCAGACTATGAGCTTTTCTGCATCAACGATCCCTTATCGGAGGAAAAATCTAAGCTAAAGATATCCTGTGTAAACAAAACATTTCAAAAGAAACCTGAACACTTTTACTCTCTGCATTTTTACATTACAAATGAAATACTTTTTTGCCAACGACTTGTTCTACATACATTTAAAAAATACAGAGAATCAATTAAGAGCAGTTGTCTGTAAGATTCGAACTATATTGAAATGTCGCTGCCACACTATCTCACCGAATTGGCTAAAAATTGGCATGTAGACTTGATTTGGGGTCTTTAATAAGGAATAGGTAACTTTAGGTTCTAATTCCTCCTATTTCGGAAATTATCGACACGGCCGGTTTTGGGGTGCTTCGGACCGGCGCCATATTGGTTAATAGAAGATGTTTTTGAGCCTTCGACTACAACCCTGTCTTCAAAGCTAATCTTCCTTTGCCGATACACATTGAAAGAACTATCCCTTTTTATTGTATTGTTAGAAACTACTTCGAAGAGAAATTGATAGCGTTTTCGCAACGATCGATTAAACTTTTGGTGGGTATACTTTTTGAATTTTTTAACACCCGTAAAATTAACAGAAATTCAAAGGCGTATATCTCTCTTGCCACATCGCATTGAAGCTTGCCACTCTGCCTGAATACTCATTGTCTGTAGTTAAATCGAGTTCGTTAATAAGAAAAATGGGCAAATTTAATGGAGCGGAAACAAAAGTAATGAATGGAAGAGTGTTCTAGTGACTTTATCAATAAGCTTTACACCTTACACCAGATTGTATAAGGAAAAGGAAAATGAATTTGTTATATTTATGCTACGACCCGTAAATAAAATGAAACCATCACAGTCGAATTGGAATTTTCCTGATTTTCCTCCAGTTCCTTTATCGAAACCAGAGCTTTTAAAATCAACCGTGATAATGAAAATTGAAATGTATTACCTTATTCGACGACAAGGATGCCAATTTCCACCTTGATCGAAAAAAAAAAAATATATTTTCCCACGCATATCGCGGGTCGATCGTCACGTTCCTTGCATGGCGTTACAACTCAAGTGAAACCACAGGTAGCCCAAGCTCGAAATATGAGCATCAGCGACAAACTGCATTGTTGCGTAACATTCGAAATATAAGGATTTGTATGGGGAAAAAACCTATCGTTTCTGTAACCCACTTAAAATGTGTGTTACGTCTCTCCTGTGTGGTCCACGGGCCGATTTATGCCCGTTTTATGGGTTTTTATGTAAACCGTTTTCTCTCCCGTGGACAACACAGGAGAGTCGTAACACACATTTTAAGTAAGGTAAGCTGTTTTTATTAAAATCCTTTCATTTTCGTAGGTTACAGAAACGACAAGTTTTTTTCCCAAACAAATCCTCATTTTTCGAATGTTACGCAGCAATGCCGGTGTCTGCCGATGCTCATATTTCGAGCTTGGGCTACCTATGGTGAAGCCGCCTGGTTTCAAACAACTGAAGAACCTGGACAATTCCTCGTCTAAGAAATTCACAACAAAACTTTTTAAAATTATTATATATAGAAGAGAAAGCTGATGCAACTCCCGAAGTTCCACGGCTACGTTTGAAGTTCCAAACGCACCCATTCAAGTTAGCTCAAAAGTCAAAACTAACATGGCTTGCAAAAACACCTGGCCGAGTTGGGGCTGGTGAAATATTAGAAGAATATAACCGCTCATATACAACGGTGAAAGTCATCAGTGACAAGCTGACTCATCCCTGTGAAATAGAACTTTCTTCACGTCCTTGTATACTACTACTTCGCCTTATTTGGGCTTTATTCAAAGAAAATCAGAGAGAAAGTCGTCTTAGTAAAGATTTAGCCCTAACCAACTCCATCACCGATATCCACCATTTTCCCATTACATTTGTTTTGAATTGATGTTGTTATTTAAAAGCTGTTAATTTTCTTAATAGTATCATTGTTTGACTTTCTTGCATGAAACAACCTTACGATTACGAATACGGTTCCCTAATATAGTAACCCTACAGAATTGGTGTTAAACATACAAACCCGAATTTCCAAACATTGTTTTGTTAAAATGGAGCGAGTAAGTAAAGACTATTGTCGGAGAGGGACCGGTCGAGGGTCCGTACGCCAACAATCCCTCCAGCTCAGTATGCGCAACCACGGTGATGCTAAAAGGTGGCCGGCTTTGTATGGTGTTTAGACTGTTAAAATTAGATCACTTACCCCATGAAAGGTTAGTGTATCCTCCAAATATGTATTTCCCTCCGACTCTTATGATTGTTACAGTTGGTCCTTTGTTGTCACATCCGCTGTGAAAAGTACTGGCATTCCAGCCATCCACGGACGCACGCCAACAGCGCTTCCATTTTGAAGATTCGCTTTGGGCAACTGGTTTGAGCCATGTGCTTAAATTAGTTAAGTGATGCACATTATGTCCTACGATAACGGAGTCAGTCAGTCCTTCTGGAAAAACTGACATAACGGAAGAGAAAAGAAAAGGTGATTCAGGTACCATCTTTTTTCGAAACTGATATCAGTGACAGTGAAAACTTTATTAAGCGGACACCGTATTAAGCGGATACCCTCTATTAAGAGGACAGTAGCCGAAGTCCCCAAATTTGTTTCCCTTATTGACTTCATATGGAACCTTTATTAAGGGGAAACCTCTATCAAGCGGCCGTGGACACCTAAAGAGTACCAGAAACGGTCATTTCTATTGTTGCCAACTTGTATTAAACGGACACTTGTAATTAAATTCTACCATCCAACCTGCCAGACAATGGAAATGCGAAAGATTGCCGCCTACAAATTTTTCGATTTGACTTGACGAACGTATTTGATTAGTTTCACAGTACAGTATTGTCTTCTATTTCGTTTTGTTTGTATAGAGCTTGTTTCACTCATCTGAACATAAATAGAATAGAGTGAATAAAATACGTTAATTACAATTACTCATTTAAAATATTTCGCCGTTTCTGATTGGCTCAAAGCTCCTAGTCAACTGGAGTTTACCATATTTGGAGGATGGAAAAATATGCTATAAAATCGACGGTATATTGCACGAAAATGACAGTTTATGTTTCTTATATGAAGTGAATTATCGTATGATTCCATTTCAATCGGTTTTTTGTCATTTTGGACTAACTTTTTGGCAATATTTCCTCGCTGTGCTAATGATAACCTTTAAAAATGGCGTCAGACACGAATGGAGTTGATCGAACTATATTTGCAGCACCGGATTTTAGCGATGATTCAGGTTAGGTGAAGATTAGTCTGATTAAATGGACGAAGACACTGGCAACAATTCAGAGCTTGAGCATGCAGATACACGGTGTGGTGGTCAAGAAATTATCGAAGAAAGAGAGCAACCGGGCGCTTCGGTGGCCACAAAATGTACAGTGTCAACTGTTATAAGAGACTGCTAAAGGCAAACAGCTCTCCAAACAAACGTTAAGTTAATACATATATATATTTTGAAACCCTGATATGTCTACTTTCTAAATATGTACGATTATAGGCACTTTTACCTCAAAGGGAACTTTTGAGATGTTATTTTGTGTATGTATGTCAAAACTGAAGCAATATGACAGAAAAACTCAGGATTCAAAGGGATAAGTACGTTATATGTGCAATAAAATGTAGACATAGATTAAATTATAGAATAGTGTATGTATGCATAAATAACTATGAATGTAATGTCCTAGATCCTTGTTCGAGTCTAATTCTTATTATGAGCTAGATGATTTAAATTTACGCCATTTACAATTAGCGCATCAGTGTTAAGTGGCGGCTCATGATGCACAGTTATTTAAAAGTCAAAAATGCCATTTTCAGACATTTCGTTTTGCTGACTGGTTTGGGAGACCTAAAAGATCGTCTAAATTTACGCCCAAATCGTTGGTGAAAACGCCTTGATAAGAGTACAAGGAAGTTTCTTGCTCCGTGTTATAGCCTCCAGCAAAGGCATAACATGAAATATGACGTCATACAATGCTGGATATGAAAACTTACCGGCGGATTTAGCTGATTGCCGTTCTCATTATCCACCATTTTGAACGCTATGATGTCGCACGTCCTTAGGAAACTTCCATAATTGATGTTATAACAGTAAAGTAACTGACCTTTAGGTTCACTAATTATTTTCTCCTACCTCCGCACGTTTTTCCATCGCCGTTGTATCCTGCCTTGCAGGTGCAGATATACGATCCACGAGTATTGGAGCAGTTGGCATTGACGTCACATACAGGAGGAGAAGCACTGCACTCGTCAATGTCTAAAAAAACAAAAATATTGGACTTCCACAAGGATCTATCGTAGGCTCCTTGCTAACAAAATAAAATCAAACAATAATAAGTAAATGAAAATATTCAATCTTCTTCGATCCCCGTTGATAACAGTCTGAATTTCCTCAACAGGGAACCAAAACGTTTCAGAGTTTTCTTCTTCTTTGCCATCGAGTTGTCTACTCCAGAACTTTTCAACATTTTTCATATATCTCTCATAATTCTTTTGAAAAAGGGTTTTTCTGTATAGGCTGTTCCAAAAACCCAGAGTTACCCGGTGCTAGCGCTGTTTCTTCATAATTTTGTTTTTCTTATTCTAATGGTCTAGGTGGGCTACTAAGTAATCACAGCATTACTTTTCGCAGTTAAATAATGGACTTCAAACGTCTTAATTCTCAATGCGCGACCTTTTAAAGAATTTGTATACACTTACATGTACCCAAAAATGTTCTAATAATAACAGAAGTATAACCCGAGGCATATGATGTCATGCACTGTCGGTATATATAAACGGACTGGATTCGATGGATTGCCCATTTTTACTGGTCGTCACAAGTCCCTGGGAATCTGCCGTCTTCGTTGTTATCACAGTAAATCGACCTTTATCCTACCTTGGCAAGTTTTCCCATCGCCTGTATATCCTGCCCCGCAGGTATATACGATCCCCGAGTATTGGAGCAGTTGGCATTGATGTCACATACAGGTGTAGAAGCACCGCATTCGTCAATGTCTAGAACAACAAGCATATTGATTGATGAAAAAAAAATTGAAGGGCATTAACTCAGGTCCTAACAGGTGACGCGCGCGAGGATTACCCATTCTTCCTTGGCGTGAGTCTTTTTTTCCCTTAAAATTTATCTTCTTTCTCCATGTCTTATCAGTTTAAATCTCTTGGTTGCTGTTGCTTCATAATTTTGTTTTTCTTTTTCTACTGGGTTACGGTGCTCTACTAAGTAATTACAGCATTACTTTTCGCGGTTAAACAACGGACTTCAAACGTTTTAATTCTTGCGCGGTCTTTTACAGAATTTCTATACACTTACATCTACCCAAAAAGTTGCCTGAGAAAACAGCCGACACTAGTTTGGCGACGCTACCACTGGTTTACCCGCCAATTTGACGTCTAAGAAACTAGGGCAGAAATTCCATACTGATGACGTGTCACTACCCAGATCTGGGAAGTGCTTCTGATTGGTTTAATTAAATTTCCGACACTGCACGACCAATCAGAAGTACTACCCAGATCTAGGTAGTAACACACGATCCGTACGGAACTTCTGTGCTCGTTTCTCAGACGCCATTTGCTGGGAAAACCGGTGGTAGCGTCGCCAAATGTCGGCTGTTTTATGGCAGGCTTCCCAAAAAGTTTCTACTACAGAAGTATAACCTGAGGCTTGATGTGATGCACTGCCGGTATATAAACGGACTGGATTCGATGGATTGCCTATTTTTGTTGATCATCACAAGTCCCTTGGAATCTGCCGTCTTCGTTGTTATCACTGCAATTGGACGTTTATCCTACCGTGGCAAGTTTTCCCATTGCCCGTATATCCTACCCTGCAGGTACAGATGTACGATCCACGAGTATTGGAGCAGTTGGCATTGATGTCACATACAGGAGAAGAAGTATTATATTCGTCAACGTCTAAAACAACAAACATACTGATTGATGAAAAAATTATTGAAGGGTATTAACTCAGGCCCTAACATGTGACGCGAGGATTACCAAGTCTTTCGTGGCATGAGTCATTTTTTCCCTTAAAATTTATCCTTTTTTCTCCCTGTCTTATCAGTTTAAATCTCCCGTTTCGGTTGCTTTATAATTTTGTTCTTTTTTTTTTTCTACTGGGCTAGGTGGACTACTACGTAATTACAGCATTACTTTTCAAGGTTAAATAATGGACTTAATGCACGGCCTTTTAAAGAATTTGTGTACACTTACATGTACCGAAAAAGTTTCTAATAACAGAAGTATAACCCGAGGCATGATGTGATGCACTGCCCGTGTATAAACGGACTGGATTCGATGGATTGCCGATTTTTACTGGTCGTTACAAGTCCTAGGAATCTGCCCTCCTCGTTGTTTTTACACGATAAAAGGAAGTTTATCATACCTTGGCAAGTTTTTCCATCGCCTGTATATCCTGCCCTGCAGGTACAGAGATACGATCCCCGAGTATTGGAGCAGTTGGCATTGATGTCACATACAGGTGTAGAAGCACCGCATTCGTCAATGTCTAGAACAACAAGCATATTGATTGATGAAAAAAATTATTGAAGGGCATTCACTCAGGCCCTAACATGTGACGTTGGGAGTACTCATTCCTTCCTGGCATGAGTCTTTTTTCACTTTCAAATTTATCTTTTTTCTCCGGGTCTTATCTTAATCTCTCGTGTAATTTTTCATCAGTCGCCGCATCTGTGACTAAATATGAAACATTTAAGTCAGTTGTCTAATAATCATAAATTAACTTATCACAAAGCACAATCAACTTAACGGTGGTCGCCGATGATATAACTGACTAAACTCACCGTTGGTCTCCATATTACAATTAGCCAGAACAGATGTACCAGATTTTATAGTGGAAAACCAGTATTTCCCGCTAACAGCGTGTCCTTCACTCCTCTTTATTTCGTCACAAGTCTCAGCTGGGAGTTCTTGAATCGAACCAAGGGGAACTGAGAGGTTAAAAAACAATTCTTCATTATCAGTTTACCCTTATCCCTACAGAGTTTTTAGTTTATGCACGGGGCGCTACTCAGCAACGTTTTATAAAGCCAGGACCGGAGGTTCCGCCCTGAGCTCGAGGTCCAACCCCTTACCCTTTTATACAACGTTTTTGACAAGAAAGGTACCCCTTTCGTATACCTTCGATTCACGAATGTTAGAACTACCGTAAAATCCCACGTTAAAGCTCAGGGGCTCATATAACTTCATAAAGGGTTTTGGGTGGGCTTATAAAGGGGGGAGGGGGGTATAAGCCGAAATAAATGTTTCGGACCGACAGGATAAAACATATCTGAACCGAATTAAAGCAAACATTCCATTATAAATTTATCACAATAAATGGAGAATGTGTTTCACAAACATCTATAAAACACTTGAACAACTGGAACGGAACAGGACAAAAGTAAAAAAACTTCAAGAAACGGTCCTCTGGGTAGCATTAACAAAGTTCATATTTCTTTTTCACCCGCACAATTTCGTAGCTTCATGTTCCAATTTAAGTGACTACTGTTTTTCAAAACGCGCTTGGCATAACAATGGGCTTATATCTTGGGGGGTATATCCAGAATAATATCTTCGTTTGCAAACGGATGGGTTTAAATCCGGGGAGGGCTTTAACATAGGATTTTACGATAATTTGGCATCCCTCTTAACTACTGTAAATGCTATGCCTTTTAAACATGAATAAGCACAAAACCAGAAAAATTTTCGTCTGCTTTTTCTCATCCATAAAATGCATCTGTTAGCTCTTTTAGTTTCTTTTATCGGCCTCCAGAGATCACTAACTTTCCTACCCTTTCATATACTTTAAACTGTGACATTTCTTAGCTCTTTCATATATATGAAGCCTGACAAAGGTACCCCGTTCGGGGGGAGCCTCCCCGTAACCGGCCAACTTAAGAGTATCCCCGGCACTTAATGATGGCTCACCTCTTTGTAAATCGCGTCGATAGTAAGATCTGTCGTGGTTTGGAATGAAGTCCTCGGGGCTGGCTTCCTTTGTCCTGTTGTTAAACTCACACATAAGAAGAGAGATAACCCAGTTAATACTTTGGCATCTATTGTCTTCGCGACACTGGAATACGCACGTAAACGGACGTTCAACAAGAAGAGTGTCGTACACGTGTCCTCGTAACATCCAGCCCAAAATGGACTTATCTGATGTACCACCTGCAGGACACTTAGTGCTTACCGCGCTGTAGAGCAGGAGAGCTAGAACGAAGGTACGGAAAACTATTCTTGCGGTCATATCTGGAAGTAAAGAACATAAAAGTATTTTGTTCAAAGGTGAACTTAAATGATTAATTCGTCGAAGGTTTCCGCCTAAGAAAACTGATGTAAGCTGCAGGAGGGTAATTTAACCAAAGACATGCATATTGCCAATTAAAATGAACTTGAAATTTTCAAATGGTTGCCTTCAAAAATTTCTTTTACAAAGACATACCAAATAATCAATAATTAATGTATATAAATGTTTAATAAAAGGACAGTTTTAGAGCTCCTCATCTTGACAAAACCGATTTCTAAATCCAGCGTAATTCCCGCAACAGGCCATCACTTCACCATAAGAGATATCGCTTAATGCTCGATCCTCTTATACCACTCAGAAAATGTATTTAGATACAAAAATGAATAAAAAGTACAAGCGGGAATTATTATGAACAGAAATTTGAAAGCTCATTTTAAGAATTTTGTTGTCTTTTTTTTTGGCTCATGAACAGACAGTTTTCTGCACTATTAAAGCTCAGCTCAATAAAACATGAAAATGTGGCCGTCAAAGAGCAAAGACTTTCAAAACTATATTGTCACTCTTTTCTGAAATTGGCACCTTATTATTTTATGAGGCTTATATAAAAAACAGTCGTTCTTCTGGATATTAATTTTTCAAAGAAATGCTTTTTTGTTTTAAAAAATTTCGAGCATCTACGCAGATGTCTTCGCGCGCCAAGTGTAAAAAAGACTCGATAAAGAATGAAAGTAAAAATTAAAAGTTAATGTTCCAAGGCTAGCCCTCCGCTCAGTCGTTCTAAGCGCTTCGTCACGACTAGCTTCCTCCCTTACGAACTTCGTTTGTGGGAGAAGATGATTTAAGATAGCCCGGCGAAGTAGTCTGAGAAGGAGGCTATAATGTTCCTTATATATGAAAAATAAACTGCAGAATTAAAAAATAAATCTGACTGCAAATGCAATTCGGTGCATAGTAAATGCATTAAGATCGAATCCATTAAATGAAATCATGTGCATGACGATTTTACCTGTGTTTTCTCAATTCCTGTGAAATTTGAATCTATTTTCTCTTGCTCCCATGAGAATCTTTTCTTTGGAGTCACTTCATATACCTTATTACATTTATAGCCCTTGAAAAGTGTCAAAAAGAATGCGATACTCGGGCTTAAAATACTCTGGTACAAGGTTAAAGTTTCTGTCCACTAAATATTAAAATTACTCAGTTTCCTAACGAATCTCGTCTTAGTCTTTGCCATATGCCAACATAACTCGATTATTTCTTCTCTTCTTGCACTTTTAAAATAGTTCCCTCTTCTTTGTACTTTTTTTCCTTGTTTTTGTTGTTGTTGTTGTTGTTTTTCAGATTCTACTTCATTTATAGTTTTTTACGATCACGAAACTGGAATAATTTAATTCGTAGAATAGGGATGCAAGTAAAAAAGGGGGCCTTACACTTTACAAAACCAACAGAAGAAGGCTATACCCGGCAAACCATGAAGTAAATACACTGGAGAAAACTCTAACAAATTACCCCTACGATCGGCTTAGAAAAGAATCGTTGAAAAATCGAACCATTAAAAATAGCAACGATAAAATTAAAGGAAGAAAACGAATAGGCTATTTGCACTAAGAGGCATGTGACATCGTTTTTATGAAAACGAAAGTTACATGATTTTGCCTTCGAAAAACGATTAGTGGGTCATATCTTAAACAAAATAATGGTGATTTGGTTTTTCAAACCCGAACCATTTTCTTAAAATGAATAAGCTCGTAAATGATCACGTGACCAAAATGTGATTTTTAAAATTATGAATTACCTCTCTCTGAACACAAATTTTGCACTTAACCTTCAAGGAAAATGTTGAAAAGATGATGTGATAACGTTTACAGCACATCTGAGCGTAAATATGAAACGTTGAACAAGATATAAGCAAGAAGTAGTTTTGACCACCATGTTGGAGGGCAAAAGCATGCCCTCCAACTTGGCGACCAATACAAATCATACTACTTTGCTGAAAAATCAAAGTGCCATAAAATATCTCCCTTAAATGCGTTTCCTCTCAAATTTCGGGTGTAAGATAATTTTTGTGTGCTCTAACAATTTTTGGCATCAGCAAGATTCCAACTCATTGTTTAAAGGAAGCATTGGTCACGTGACCTCTTAGTGCAAGTGGCCTATTCTCACCAGTTTCTAGGAGTCGAGGCGGCGGTAGTATCTTGAACCTTTTTCCCTAAAGCAGCGGAATTGCGTTTACGAAGAGTAAGGATTTCGTCTTAAACAGTGTTGCAATAGTGACAACAAACACAATGTACATTGTTGCCATTAGTAAAATGCATTAGTTGTAGAGTATCAGATTCATATAGCCGAGTAAATTGATTATCAAAAGTTGGCATTCTAAACTAATTTTTTAAAATAAACACTTTGGCCACCGGTCATTTCGGTCCCGATCGACTAGGCCAGGGGCGCCCCCGCTCAGTGATATTTTCCTTTTTAATAAAGCAACTTTTTTACATCAGCAAAAAAATTGTGCAGGAAATGGAAGATAGAACAGAACAAAATTTTCCAAGGAGTGCTTAACGCTGTGTCAATTCTTTCTACTCTCTATCATAAATTTTAGGATATTAAGTACCCCTGATAAAATCAGAATCAATAGTTATTATTATTATTATTATTATTATTATTATTATTATTATTATTATTATTATTATTATTTTCCAATTCTAGAAAAAAAATCCGATGTTGAAGAAAAAGCAAATTCAATGCTGCAGTTGGTTACTTTTAGTAGGTGAATGGGGAAGCATTATGTTTTTGTTTGTTTGTTTTTTTTTTCTAAATTATATATCGAGGATGGGCTTAATTTTTAAGGAGCGTGAATAAAAATTAGCAAGTGAAATAAGTATTTGTCATGAGATTCGATGTCAGGTTTGCAATTAATACGACCTCTAGGACTTCAAGTTACACAAACACTTTTTTGAATCACTGTGGTAGAATGTTATTTCTCTTCCTAAAAGACTGTCGATTGCAAATTACATCAGTTTTCTCTCTTGTATTGACATATTTAATTCATTTACAATTTCTCAAAATATTTGCTGAAGCAGACGGATAGCATCACAGTCTAAATCGTGAACTTTTACAAGACGTTTCCCTTTAATGATAATTAAGTTTCTGTAACTGTTGCTAAGAACTACGCATATCAAACTTTCGTTTCGTTATCGTTACTTGTGTAACTCTTTCTAATCCTTCTACATCCCACACAAAGATGCTTGGATATTCTCTCACTCGTCTGTTAATGTTTTAGCATGCGTAATTGACTCTTAACCCACACGGAAGGCTTTTGTTCAATAATTATTGTGAACAGCTTTTCGAATCCTCTGTTTTGTTAGAGAACTAACTTGCTTGGGCAAAGCATAGTGTTACTAAACCACACCTTTTCCTAAAAGTCATAAAATTCGTTTTTATTCTTTTTATGTGCCTTTTTTTTTTACCATCTATGAAAATGCCATTAAAAAATAGTGTTCAGTTAAGATAGCAGTGAGGCAAATCATGCTTTTATTTCGTTCCGATGCCAAATGGGAAAGGTAGTATGTTATTTAAAGTTAATTGTTCTGGCTAGTGGGAGTTCAATAAATTTGAAATTTGAAATTTTAGAGCTGTTGACGGTTATTAGGTGTAAATTGGGATAAAAAAAATTGTCTTAAATATCAACTTCTGTATAAATTATAATTAACTGATATGTTTTAGAGGTTGTCTTGGCCTTTCACTTACAAAATTTCCAGATATTTTGAGATATAAGCAGGTTTTAAGGTATTGTACTGTCTAGAAAGAGTGATTTTGAGTATGAGAACTGGTTTTCCCAGTTTAGGAATTCTTTAGGAGTTGGAATTCCGTGAAGATCAGCAAAATAGTGAGATTTGAAACACCTTGAAACTTTTTGACGGTTAATCTTAATCTGCATTTTTGACGATGATGGTGAACTGTTAGGCCGTTTGACGGCTGACGGTACACCCGTTGAGACCTTGATACCAGGCAAATTATTGCGCCATAAGCTACACGAAAATATCGGAAGCGCCTGGATTTTGTTCCATTTTAAACATTATTCTGATTTTGACTCAAAATAAATGAGGCTTTTTTTAAAGTTACAGCATAAAAAGAAAATTTCAATCTTTATTCACACTTTGTTTGCGTTTTCTGGCTCATTGATCGGTTTCTTTTTCCTTTCTTGCTTAGAGTGTTTGAGCCTTCCCAATTAATCTCTGAGGCACCTGTGACAAGACCTAACTAAAAAACGGTATATATATATACCATCAGGAGCTTCTAATAGACAAATTACCAACCACGACGGCGACAACCTTGAGTGAATTTGCGTCGTTTTTCTAGCTAGTTAAAATGCAGATCGACTTAAAACAATAACAAAACAAAACAAAAACCACATCCAAAATTGAAAGAAAGAGAAAAATTTGTCGTCGTTTGTTGACGTCTTTTATACAGACCGTAGTCTTAGTATCTCGAAAACAAAAACCACATCCAAAATTGAAAGAAAGAGAAAAATTTGTCGTCGTTTGTTGACGTCTTTTATACAGACCGTAGTCTTAGTATCTCGAAAAGGGTTAGAAATGTTTTTAAAAAATGTGATGCATTAGTGGAGAGTTGCAAATGTCCGATCCTGGTCTATACAGGCGTTGGTGTTTAGAAGTTAACTCCGTATTATTTAGAAACTTAAGCTAATGTTTTTTCGCTTATACAAGGTGTAATAATTATTGTTCTTGGTTGGCGAAAGCGAAAACAAAAGAAACCTTGACAAGAACAGTCAAAAAATAAATATTGCACTCACATGAGAGTTCTGTTACCATGCACTTTTCTGAGACTAGAGTTTTACAAGTTCCGAATTCCACAAAGTTGCGATGTTCGCAGTAGCGTGCAAGGTTTTGACGATGAAGCGCCGAATTCCTCCTCCACTTTAAAATACTTCTAGAAAACAGTACTCGTGCAACAATTTAGAGTCGATATGAAAGTCGCACATT